ATAATAATAATAATAATAATAATAATAATAATAATAATAATAATAATAATAATAATAATAATAATAAGCATACGTTTAACGGATAGATTGGCGTCCGTGAGAGCGGTAAAAGCACCTGGAGTAAGGAGCGTATTGACGAAAGACATTGGATGTCGCTCTTGAGATCTAATCCCCCTTGCCACCCCTTCGATCGCCAACTCAAATTCCAGTTCGTTATTTATCGGTCGATAACAACCAAATTGTTCGCGATGCTCAATATTTATTCTCTTCCGTTCGTTATTCGTCCCCTTCTGTTTTCTATAATTTTTCTGCCTTTTTCGTGTTTTTTTTTTTTTTTTTTTTTTTTTTTTTTTTTTTTTAATGGAAATTAATCGTGTAAACGGTAACGACGTTGGGCAAGGAGCTTCCGCGCGGAATAGCAGCAACTTACTTTCGCTTTACGGATTAAATAAACAAAACAAAAAACAACGACGGCGACGACAAAAATATCGATCCGGCTTCTTGCCTTGCACAACAAGCAACGTCTTAAATCAATGGATTAACAACGTCAATGGAGAATACCGTCAAAGCCTCCGACAAACTACCAAGCCACTCGGGACTTCCCGATTGTCCTGCTGCCATTGTTCTCTCTCCCTCGGCCCCTCTTATCTTCCTCACTTTGCTTGTGAACACTAAGCGAAAAATAAGCGGGTGTCACGATCTGCCCGCAGCCGAGGATGGCACCAGGAGGTGGGCGACGGCAGCCCCGTACGATTCTCCAGCAAGTGAAACGCGAGCCCACGGGGCACGAGGACCTCCTACGAAGCGACAAATAGTTCGGTTAGATCAACGTTCGTGACTAATGTGTCCAGGCATTGCGGATGCCCGATCTTCCATAACGTCGGCTTGCCTCGCCTCCTGCAAAGCAGCGCGACTAAATCAATCTCGAGATAAACGCGACTTGGCTCGTTTGGCGCCTGCACGCTTTTTCCATTCCGGGGTTTGTCACTCCTCCTCCCCCCTCCCTCCTCCTGCCACCGCGGGTCACCCCGTCCACCCGTCACCCACTACACAATCCCCCACTCGTTCTCACGAGTATAGCCGGCGCTTGCTTATATTTTTATTACGCGGTACGTATCGTTTGAAGGCCGAGAGCGAGAGGAAAGTAGGATAAAAGAGGAAGAAGATTAGAGAATAGGATGAGAAGATAATAATAATCCGAGTCCTATTAAACTTCTTTGAATTATTAACACTTTTTCCCAAATTCATCCAAAGTGCAATCCTATTTGACCTTAATGCGACGTAATTTTGACGATAATGTGAAATTTCAGCAAGCCGACGGGGAAGATGAATTGAAGAAGAGGCAGTTGATGGAGCTGGCCATTATTAACGGAACCTACCGAGATTCCAACACCAAAGTAACCGCGGCTACAGGTAACATTGGTTATTGACTTGACGCTGTTAGTTTGTGTCTAATTTGAACTAACTCAGCCTGGAAATCTTATCGATTTAAAAATGTTATAACAACGAGACAATCTAAAAGAATGTCTTCCAAGCTCTACTTAGTTACTTCATACTTCCAACAGCACAATTATTAATAATGTGTTTCTCTATCGTGTGCTCTCATTTGAACTAAAAAGAAACGAAAAGTCTAATTGACGTTAAGTCACAAATTAATAGTATGCATAGAGTCAAGATTTTCCTTTAATCAGTAATAACAAATATATTTTCTCTTTATTTTTCTTCTAAAAATTGATTGTTTAATACTCGCTGTAAAGACAAAACAAAAACAAAAACAAAAATAATATATGATAAAAAATTGCAATAATTTCATAGTTTTAGCGTAAGAGTAAGTGAAGGTCTTCGGGAGGATCATCGTTTCATCGACTGAGTGTAACTTCCCCCCCCCCCCCCCTCGGCCGTGCACATCAAACACCTTTAACGTCAAATTACAATTACTTCCGCGATCTCCGCTGTCAAAATTCAATAACTACTATAAACCGATCGTTGTCTTCTTGAAAAACCAAAAACAAAAACAAAATAAGAACAACAACAACAAAAAATGTTGAAAAATGGTGTTGAGCGATAAGCAGCACAGTAAGTCACTTAACGTCACGCTAAAACATCATTACACGAAAAATCTTTGCGCATTCTCTTCGGCAATTCCAAGTCTTTGTCAAGTAAGAGTACCCCGGCATCTCATTACGGCACAGATTAATCATATTCGAGTGCTCGCTGCCAATGATCTGAACTTGCAAAGCTTGCGACGGCATGCGAACTGGCCCCGAGAAGCTTAATGCTTAAAGAAAAGCTCAGTCGTGGGATAAAATGAACCGTCCCCGAAGACCACGATCAAGTAGACACAAACTAACGATTATCTTGGCTAACAACCACGCGGGCGCTCAGTGCCCGGACCTCGAGCCCAGCAGTACGATTCATCCTAGCCTTTGACATTGCAGCCTGCGACGAGGAATGGCGACGCGTGGCCGTGGCAGCAGCCGAGACTCAGCGGCTGCTTCCCGGTCTTGGCACTCCAATGAGGACCCCGAGCGCACCCCTGGGCGCGCCCCTTATCCTCTCCCCAAGGATATCCGTCCCAACGACCGCGGCCTCGCTCCTCAACGGCTCCGGGCCCCCGGGTTCCCTGCTATCCGCGGGCGATCCTCACGGCCTCATCTACGCCCCCTACGCGGACTACGCCAATTACGCAGCCCTCGCCAGCTCGCCCTTGCTCACCGAGTACACCACGGCTGACCATTCTGGTGGGTTGTTTGCTCGCTGACGCTGAGAGAAAGAGTCGCGCGCCTTCGACATCTCCATTACTCTCCGCTCTTACGTCTCTTGCTGGCCCTGTTGCTCTCGTTCTTGTTATCATTATTACTGTTGATGCTGTTGTTGTTGTTGTTGTCGTCGTCGTCCTCGTGGTCGTCCTTGTTGTTGTTGTTAATGATGATGAAGCTGCTGCTGTTGCTGCGGTGTTGTTGTTGTTGTTAACGTCGTCGTCGATATTGTATAATGATGGCCGCGACGACGACAAAAACAATGACAACAATGACAACAACGACGACGACGACGACGACGACGACGACGACGACGACGACGACGACGACGACGACGACGACGACGACGACGACGACGACGACGACGACGACGACGACGACGACGACGACGACGACGACGACGACGACGACGACGACGACGACGACGACGACGACGACGACGACGACGACGACGACGACGACGACGACGACGACGACGACGACGACGACGACGACGACGACGACGACGACGACGACGACGACGACGACGACGACGACGACGACGACGACGACGACGACGACGACGACGACGACGACGACGACGACGACGACGACGACGACGACGACGACGACGACGACGACGACGACGACGACGACGACGACGACGACGACGACGACGACGACGACGACGACGACGACGACGACGACGACGACGACGACGACGACGACGACGACGACGACGACGACGACGACGACGACGACGACGACGACGACGACGACGACGACGACGACGACGACGACGACGACGACGACGACGACGACGACGACGACGACGACGACGACGACGACGACGACGACGACGACGACGACGACAATGACGATGATGATGTTGATGATGATGGTGATAGTGATAGTGATGATATAGATTGTCGATGTTTATGCCATCGCCATCACCACATCTTTCTCGTACGCCTATACTATTTATACTTATTATAGATTATTATTTCTAATGATATACAGTAGGATGCGGCCGATTGTAACTCTTCGCTTTAAAACTGATAAATAATTTAACAACACCAGTGTGACTTTGATTAGATTACACTAGTAATTAATAGAGTTTCGAATAATCGGTAAAAATACACAAAAAGTACTGTTTAACAAGTTCTGCTGTATATCATTAATGAAAGTAACGCGTATACATCTCGTCGTAGTCGTCGTCCTCGTCATCGACGTCACTATCGACGTCGTCGTCATCGTCGTCGTCGTAGTCATCGTCGTCGTAGTCGTCGTCGTCGTCATCGTCGTCATCGTCGTCGTCATCTTCGTCGTTATCGTGCGGCCATTGGCGCATTAGATTTAAGACTTTCGTATTACTCTCTGAATTGCTTGGCACTTTCGTTCTAGAGCTTCGCGATCTCATTCTTCTAGCTTTTATTATTTTGAAAAATTTATGAAAGCATAGAGTGAGACTGGTAGGAGCAATTGTGCAATGTCGAGATCGCAAGTACAATGAAAATAATTAATCACGCGTTTTTAATTAATTAAATAGAGAAATTGAACTCTATTTGAAAATTAATAAAAATAGGGAAGGCGAACATTTTACTATTATTTTATGGATATTTCTAACAAAATCGACGTTTTTTCCCCCTTAAAAACAAAATTTGATTTTTTCATTGCACCATTGAAAGCTCTAGTATTTCTTTTAGCGGAGTATACATCGTAAATATCTTTTGTCATAAACATTTTGTAAAAGCCATTTTAAAGTATCGTTAAAATACTTTTACATACATCAGCGGCCAAACGAACCGCGATATTTTCAATCTAATTATTTCAATTCGTTTAATCATCATCTTATTCTATTATTCAATCATTTTCATTTATAAAAATATATTTATTAATATATTAAAATACATTTATAAAGATTTGGGCGTGAAAGAATGAGTTGACATTGAACTGGCCAACTGCGATCGAACGGCTTATCGTACAAGTAATTCAGAGAGCTTACATTTATTATTTTTTTTTTCTTTCAATCTATCGTTCTCTATTCGTCTATTATTTTAGCCCTACTATCTTTTGTTCTTTCACATTCTATATATTTTTTTAAGAATCTAGAAGTGAATAAAGCGCGAAGTTTATTTGACAATATTGTTTTTCGCATAAACTTCACCTTACGCTTTATTTCGAGAGATGAATTAATTGCGTCTGCATTGAAAAAGTACACCGCAAATCGAATTGGATCCCCAATGCAAGTGCATTTCCCTTTCAAACGGAATGAAAATAAAAAAAATTTTAAAACAAAAAATGCAAAAAAAAAAACAAAACAAAACAATTCGACTGTTTTAAATAAGTTTTGTAAGAGTATATTAAGATGATTAAGTTAATTTAGATAGATTTTATATTGGACATATAGTTTTTATGTAATAGCAATTGATTTTACGTGTACTGATTTTCAATGTACACTACCGCACGTTTCAAACTATGCACGTGAGACTTGCTCCTCGAAAGGTTAATAACAACAACAGCAACAACAACAACAACAACAACAACAACAACAACAACAAATATATGTGTGTGTGTGTGTGTGTGTGTGTGTGTGTGTGTGTGTGTGTGTGTGTGTGTGTGTTCACTTATGTAGATTGGAGCGGAATCATATCGTACTATATATCTTTAAATAATTTTAGAATTTTATTTTATTTTTTGCTTGGCAAACGGAAGGAAATGACGCTGAAAAAAAAAAGGGCAGGTGGAAAATTGACTAAATGATTCGTAATTTTTATATTATTTTAGCAGCTTCGATTTTATTATCGATCGTTTAGTGCCATTATCTTCTTACTTGGTGAGAATTTCGCCAAACGTCAATTTTGTTCGCAATCGTTGATGTTAAAGAGCAGACAAATATATCCGCGCTTTACTCGAAGCCGTGAGCGACGGAAACGTTCGACGAGATTCTTATTAATAGCGATCGAAAGCTGGCAGATATAATACATAGTAATATATTATACGCATATACATAGATAAGAGTGGAAAGTTAGTTACGTATTAATGATAGTATCGCGTCGTTATAATCCAGTTGATTATAAGACGCAGGCAGGTAGAATAGGATGATGTAGGCATCGTTCGCTCGTCGCCAAGAACCTCGCCTTTAATTCTTGAATTCGTGACGATGAAAATCCGAATGATGCTCGTCAGTATTGAAGCAAAAGCCACAAGCGCATGCCCGTGTGGATTCCAAGGGAAGTTCGACGCTTTGATCGTGCGATGGCCATATCGAGGAACTTCGGTATGCGAATGAAGTATCGAAGTTGACGGGCTTATGCGAACTTATTCATATCAGAGCTCGAGTTATGCCGAAGTAAAAACATAAACAAAAACAAAGACAAAAAACAATACTAAATAAAACAAAAAACAAAAAACAAAATGAAGAAAAAAGAATGAGCGAAGGGGGAACCGAAGCTAGTAGGCGTCGTCCGGGGAGCGCGCAATAATAGCTGAATCAGTCAATTACTAGTCGCTGTTCGTCAGTTTTGAGTTTTAGCGTTGCACTGCATAACACGTACACATTCAATACACAGACGTCACACACTTTCACTTGCGCGTGTTACGTTATTAGTGTACGTATACGTACGTACTAACGCGAATTCGCCACGTGCGTTGAAGGATCGCACGTTGTCTTTTCGTTAAAGTGGATCGATGCAAAAGGCACAAAGGCCATTGACAAACGTACATTTGCCCATGCGTTCGAGCTATTATTATTGGAATATGAAACAAATTACTCAATTTATTCATTCGGTTGTACGTACAGTCTATTCAGTGACACAGTATTTCTTTAAAGCACAAACTTTTTTATTTCTTATTTTTTTTATTTCAAGTAGTTGTTTTTACCAGCGGCGCAGCAATGTAATTCGATCTTATGACTACAGCTATATTCTTTTTGCGAATAAGAAATGAGTAATAATTTTTGTAAGCGATTTACAAAAATAATAACAAAAGAAAAAGAAAGGAAAAAAAAATGCGATAGAGCGATATTATGACTACAAAAATTCAATACATGACAATCATGTCTTTAGTTGAGTTTGAGTTTGAGTTTACAAAATCATTTCTAATATCTCGCATTTTCTTTTTTGCAATTCAATTTTTGCATAAGAGCTACTAGTCTAAAGTCTTTTCTGAATTTCAAAAAATTTTCATATTAACCTTGAAATGCATAAAATATAGGGACGCTGAGGCAGAATAAAGGCAAAGTTATAAATACGACAGTCGTATATTATAATTTTTCTATTCAATAAAGGCAATCGGTAATCGATTGAAACATAAAGACACGTCTTTCAAACAGCCCAAGTTAAAAGGTTTAGACATTAAATCCTTTATTTATTTTATTCGATAATGCAACTATTTAAGCATATAAAAGTCAAATTTTTCCTTTATAAGGAAAACATATTTTTATAAGTGTATTGTGCGTTAAAACGCTAGAGTACGCATTAATTCTACTTATAAAGTACGGTAATGTTATTTATTCGATGTTATCTATACGAAAGTTAGATATAATCGATTACCGATTGAGGGATAAGATTTTGCATTAACAAGTATCAAAAATGGTTATATTTCGGTGTATTATGCATTAATGCGTTTAGAAACTTATATAAAAAATATATGGTCGGCTGTTTTGATACGCATAAGGATATAATTATATCTTATTAAAACATTATTTTATAAAGAAGGAAAATATAATTGTAGTGACAATTTAAAAGTGTGCAATATTAAACAAATTTATTAAAGTCATACGTAATTACAGTATATAGTACAATTAAAAATACTCTGAATGAGACGTCAAAAATATGCAAATATCTCATAACAAAATAAAAAAAGTATATATATATATATATATAAATGAATGACAATTTTTAAGTTTTGAAATTGTATGAAAAAAAAAAATTAAAAAATAATAGTATTGAATCGATAACCAAGTATCGGAAATTTTTTTTTTTATATATATATATATATAT